TGGGACATGGCTGATGCCTGAAAGAACATTTCTCCAGGAACAGCATCCAGATTGCCCCAGCACTCAAAGTCAGTAAACCATTTCCTACAAACAAAAAAGAAGTTATACACTTTGGGCAGAAGCATCAATAATTTTTGCAAGGATTGGGAGATGCAGCCAAATCCCAGAACAGGTAATACCATTCAGCCTCCTTAAACTCTCTGTGCCATTTCAGCCACATATGGATTTGCCTGACCCCTTACCCAGATCCCAGATGCTGTCCATAGGCCCATGGATTTGAAAACAAAACTCGAACAAGAACCAAGACATGTACTTAACATGAATGTCATCATGTGATCTTTCATTGTTATGTCATAGAATGTCATAGAGTCACAAGGCTAGAAGGGACCTCCAGAGGTCATCTAGCCCAACCCCCTGCCTGAGGCAGGAAATATATACGTGTCCAGGAAGGCAGGCATGAATTCTACCACTGAACCAAAACAGCAGGTTTATACACGTCAGGGAATTGAACCCAGGTCTCCCACAAAGCAGGAAAAATTCTACCACAGAACCACAACAGTATAATCCTCCTGCTGCTCCTCTCCAGACCCTCTCATTTAATCTCATTTAGGGCCTGACCCAGAAGAGTGTTGTGCATCCTCAGACCCCCACTGACTTCCTCAGGAGTTGAGGGCTTTCAAAGAGATCGGATTGCTTATACCGTAAAGCCAAGATCTGCTATCCTGAGTGCCTGAATTTAGACTTCGAAATCTATATTCAGGCAATTAAGTAAATGGCCTCATTTTCAAAGCATTGAGCATCACCCAGCTCTCCCCAAAGTCAATCAAGAGCTGCAGAGTTCTTTTGGGAATCAGGGTCACCAATTTAAGTGTCTAAATAAGGATTCGAAATCTAAATTTTAGGAAAGTCTTAGCCAAAACTCCTATAGGCAAAGATTTAAATTCGCCTGTGAAGACTTTCATATTTATGGAAATACATAACATTCTTCACTTTCCCTTCTATTAGAACCTTTATATCCCATCGCTGGGGCAGGAGGGCTGTAGCATTCCACCCCAGAGGCAGCTGCATTTCAGACCCGAGTAACAATTCATGTGCACTATGTACCTCTAAGGTTATCTCCTCTTCTCAATTTACCAGCATCTCCTGGCTTCTGCTAGTCTGTCTTTCAAATTGCAAGCTCTTTAGGGCAGAGATTGCTTTAATTTTTGTGCTTGAAATAGCACTGAATACACTCCTTTAGTGATTACCGTACAAACAACAAACAATTACACACATACACAGACAACGCACCACAATCAGCTTTGCATCTTTGTCATGAATATTTAAAGCCCAGGCACAAAAATTTAAACTCTGGTCTTTCATCATGACAACTGAGAAAAATATTAAATTACAATAACGTTACACACCCATAAAAAAATATATATGCGCTGGGGCAGGGGGGAAGCAGACTTCTTCAAGGGTGGTACATGCATTCTACAAGCGCTTTGGCATCCATCAGAACCAAAGACACCAGAAAAATGTCAAGTCATTATTGTGAGAGTGAAGGCAGAGGAAGGTAAATTAACCTCGAGAGCAGGAAAAACTAGCAAACCCCCTTGAATGTGCAAAGGCCAAAATGCCTCAGTTATCTCCTTCTCAGCACTAGATAACATGCCTCCACTCAAAACAGTCTGATTGCATAACCAGAGGGCAACAGGTGGGAGGGCATCTGACAGCACATCTAGAAAACATGCATTATGGGTTCAGGCTGTCTCTGGACAAACCACTGTGCCATGCTATGGAGAAGAGGGAGGGCAAAATGCCATGGCAGAAGGGGCTATCACCTTGGGGGCACCTGGTATTCCATGGCCTGAGCTTCCTGTCCAGCCACACCAAGAAATCCCCCTTGATCCTCATTCTGGAATTTCCCTTTCACTATGCAGTCCCTTTCTGGATAGTGAGCCAGTATTTGTCAGGGCCAGGGATACTCCGGTCTTGGATTTCCTCAAAATTGTCTCAGGGGAGTGACATGCCATAATGAAGTCTGCACTAGTGTTGAATACAGAAAGAGAGCTCTCAGGTGGGCGACAAAGTATTTGGGGCGGAGCATCTGCTCTCAGGACCTACATTCACTTCCTCCCTGGTGAAGTCTCCCTTTGACCAGATTTCCCAATGAATGACCCAGGGCAACTATGCTTACTGGGGGGCAGGGGGAGAACGGCTGGGCTGTCCTGGTGTCAGAGCTCACTTGGTGTGGCATTTAACTGCCCCATGCACTGAAGGTCTGCTCTCCATGACTCTTCACCCAGAGGGAGCAACACAGGACAGGTAATAGTGATGGAACAGATCCCCTGAGCTTTCAAAAAGGCTTCCACCCATACTACTAGGATTCCACTTCTTAGGCCCCACGCCCAATGGTACCCACAGGCAAGGCCACCACACAAACCCTTAGCCCCCAAAGTACTAGTAGCTCTGAGATTTGCAGGCTCAGCTCCTCAGCGTCCTAGAGCTCTAGCACCAGGATTCACATGCACCCCCAGCCACCCAAGCACAGCACAATCCACACCCCAGGCAATAAGGCCAGGATTCACACCCACAACCCCATGAGTGCAACATGACACACAGCTCAGGGCACAGGCACTAGCATTCACCCTGCCTCTCCAAAGCCTGTTCAGTCAATGTGATCCTCCCTGTTGACCCCTGGATGATAGAAATTAATTTCATATGAGTAATGATGAAAGGTGAGTGCAGGAGAAAGTCAATACAGTCTTCTGAGAAAGTGGAAGGGGAAAAAGACAGAAGGTTTGTTGCAATTTTGCAGGGGGCTACGGTCCCCCAGAAGCAGTTTGCTTGGAAAGAGAAATCAGCACAACTCTTTATAACGAATACAAGAAGACAATTAGTGACAGAGCTGGAAAAGGCATATGGAGAAAGAGGAGTGGGGAGGGGAGGGGAAGGGGGGTTCAGAAACAAGGAGACAGAGAAGATGGAGAAAAGGAAAAAATACCAAGAAGGCCAGACAGAAAAGACATGAGAAGACCACAAGAGCAAGAGACAGGAGAAGGGGAAAGGGAAGAAGAGGCAGGGGGAGCGAAAGGTGATGTCATGTGGTCACTCACTCTGTCTGGAAGATTGTCTGCAGGGAGGGGGCTGGTGTCCAGCGCCGGCTTTTTGGGGGGCAGCCTTTCACGCTCCTCTGCTGGGCCCCATCCTGGGGGCACTGCCACCAGCTATCCCACACTCTTCCTCCAGACACGCAGGGAGACTGGAGGGTGGCGGATGAAACCAGAAAGCTGAGGGGCAAAAAAGGGTCGCCAGCCCCCCCTCAAGTCCCTGGCATTATCCTAGGACGTGGAGGAGCCTCCTCTCCTGTCTCCCCTTTTAGCCACCAGCTATTTCAGGGGTGGCGCTCCCAGGAGACGGCCTCTTCTCGGGCTTTCCTTTCCCCTTGGACAAACCTCTTGAGGGGGAGGGAAGAAAAATCGAGGCTAGGCCGGGGCCGCCCGGCTCCCCGCGCCAGGGCAGGCGTGGACAGGGGTCGCCCCCTTACCTCCTCCGGCCGCGGCGGAGGACGCCGAGGCAGCTGTCAAGTAAATAATGGCGGGGCAGCACCGCGGCCCCGGGGCGGGGGCCGATCCCCACTGGCCGG